GTACATATGAAAAAGTCGACTTCACCTAAATCGACAAGTCTGAACTCAATCCCACTCAAAAGTTCAAGTCGAAACCGACTTCGTCCGAAGTGGCGAATCCGAATTCAACCTCATTTGAATCAAAGATGATTTCGCCTAAAGCGACTAGTCAAAAGTCAATCTAGCCAGAATGTGCAAATCTGAAGCAACTCCATTCGGACTCACATGACGAGACCCTACTCGGCCCGGTCAAGGTCGGATTCCCAAATTGAAAAATCAGGGACTCGCCATACAAAAATCCGAAGGTTTACGCCAAAAAAAAAGATGTAACAAGCAAGGGGAAGGGAGAGAAAATCAAAGGATATACAACAATGAAACAACTGTTTTATTTATATATATGTGCACAACAGCCGAACCTTACACAAGGCCAAAACAGGCCCAATAAACAAACAAACAAAAAAAGAGAAAGACGAAAATGAGCAATATATATACACACACACTAAAGCAGCAACAACTTTCGACTCGGCGTCATCACCATCGTTCCCCCATTATTGTCTTCAAGAAACTCCTCCTCAGCATTAGCATCCTCGCCGGCCTCCGCTGTCGCAGGGTCGTAGTCGCAGTTGACACGAGCCTCTCGTGCCTTCGCCCCGGCTTCTTCATAAGCAGTCTCAAAAACATTGTCCGCCTCTCACAAACTCTTGTATATGTCTCGTTGGGCCTCAGCATGAACCCAAAGGTCATGCAAATGGCGAGGAACAGTGGCAGAAGCAGATTCAACTTGGGCTAACAATTGCACCTTTTCAGCCTCAAGTATGGCGACCCAATTTCCCAAGTTTGAAGTTTCCCGATCAATTTTGCCAATGCGCTCTTCGAGCCTCGCCTCCCTTAGCGTGGCCGTTGCCCTCCCAGATTCCTACTTGGATTGAAGAACACGGATAGTTTCCTCCAACGCTGTCGCCCTTACTGAAGCCGATGCCCGAGCATTCTCGGCATTCTCCAACTCGGACACTTTCTCTCCAGCTCGGCTAACTTCCCCATCCATTCTACACTCAAAGCTTCAACTCTGGCAACATTTTGATCAAGTTCAGATTACAACTATTACACCTTCGCCAGAAGATGCTCACACTCTGCAGCAACCCCCTTTCCCAACTCAAGTTCTTCGTCCTTTGCACGAAGTAACTCCTCAAGCTCACTACTCCTGTGGATAGACTGCATCAACTCCTGATCCCTTTTCTCCAGCTTCTCCCCGAGAGATTGATTGTCAGTGCTCGCCCTCATCCGCTCATGCATCTCACGACATTTGTTGCGCTAGCACCGATACTTTTCCAGCATCATCAAAAAATTCTTGGCCCGAGTCTCGGCCCTGCGAGCACTCTCGATCTCTAGCATGTAAGACTAAAAACAAAGAAAAAAGTCGGTGAAGGCCAAAGCCGCCCAAAAAAGATGGGGGGGAGAAAAAAATAGAGAAGAAACTTACCCTCAGGCCCATCGTGGCCACTTCATACGATAATTCGATGTTGCTAATATCCCAAAGAGCCTCACACTCTGTGGCAGAGCATAGAAGGTCGAACTGCGGCACCAAACCCTCCTTATCTCTTAGAAGATTGAGATCCGATGGAATCTCAAGTATTCGGGAAGGACCTCCCGGTCTTACTATAGTAGGGGTAAAGCCCTCCTCAAACATCCTAAAATCATCAGGATTGAGGTCGGAGTCAGACTCGTAGTCATCAACCATGACACCTTTTCCCTTCTCTGCGACCGAAGAAGAAGTGCGATTCAGTTCGGATGATGAAGGGCCGCCCAAAATGGCAACAACAGCCTCGGGACCCCATATGTCCATCGCAATAGCCATTTAATCATTTGCAACAGCACAAGCCTCTGCCACCAGGTTTGCCTCTGCACCGGGCTTGCCTCTGCGGCCGAGTCAGCAACACTACCAATTTCAGACACTGCCAAAGGAGGGTCGCCCTCCGAAAATGCTTCGGTTAAAGGAGCCACTTCAAGCTCCACTCCCCGTCTCTTCAACGGGCCCTCTCCGCTACCAGCATGGGAAGACTCGCCTGTTGAGCGGACGGCAGGAGTCAGAGTCTCAGGTTGAGGAGTAATTTCTATGCACACAACCTCAGACACAGATGCAGATTGAGTAGCTCTCGATGTAGGCTGTAAAGCAGACCTTGGTACAGGTCGGGTAGAAGGTGTCGGTTGACGGAATGCGAGCAAAGGAGCCCTCGCCCTTTGCACTATCCCTGTCAACAAAGAAAATGATCATATAACTACAAGATCAAGTTAAAAGGCAAAGAACAAGAAAACTACGATGGGCCGACTCACCAGTGAGAGGGTTATGCCCGTATCTCTTGTAAAAGGATGCCCACTCATGGACCCCCATTGTATGGGGAAGAATAGCATTTACCCAATCGCAGATATCGTCAACTGGCAGGGGAGGCAATCTCCTAGCTGCAAAAGCAAAAACAAATTAGCAATGCCACATAAAGAGGAATGGTCGGCCCCTACCTCGAGAGGAGTCACAAAATAAATAAAGGAAAACTTACGGGCGAAGTTCCACGTCTTGGGAAACCTTTCCGAGTCCGCCACAAGGTGCTCGGTCCGCACGTAAAAATAGATTTCCCTGAAACGACAATTAGCCTTGTCGTCCATTTTCACCACCAAACTCTTTGTTCCTCAGTGGCGCATGTGGATCATCGTGCCTTGAATAAGTTGAGAGGAAAAAGTATTAAGCATATGCCCCAAAGTGACCTCTCGACCGGCGAGCTCTGCGTACTTGAGCAACATGAGGAAGATTTTGTACACGTATGGTGAAAGCTGAGCTGGGCACACTTCGTAGAAGCATCAGAAGTCTATTACTAGGGAGGGGAGAGGAAGTGTATACACGACAACAAAAGGGTACGCGTAGAATGCGCAGTACCCTGGGCGGTGCAGATGTACAATATCCGTCCCCATTGCCAGCACCATTTCAATGTGGTTTGGAATTCCCCACTTGGTCTTGAGCACCGCAATCACCGCTTCATCCATGGAAGAGGATGTAGGATCCGGTTCTTCTCCAGCGGGGCTGTTGAAATTGGTCCATGATTTCCCCTGATGGGGCAGCATCTCAGCCGCTGTTGGAACTCCCTCATCTTCCGCCGCCTCCGCTCCTTCTCCGAGAATAGGTGCATCATTTTCCGGTGCCGGAGCTTCTGCGAACCTGTCAGTCTGGGAAGAAGTACCGGCCATTTGTTTGGACTGATCGAAATAAATGAGTATGATGAAGGAAAACAGAAGATGGTAGCATCAAGTTCTGACTAACAAGAGTATGAAATTAGAAGTATGAAATATTAAAGAATGTGAAGGTTTGATAAATTCTTCAGATAAATTGAAAAGTGTAGCAATTGAATGGTGGTTTTCCCCTATTTATAGGAACATAAATATCCTGAGCGAGAAATTCAAGATCCGCCAATCAAAACTGATAGGACACAAGAAATGATATGGTGCCTGGTAAACGTGCGCCATAAGGATAGTGGCTATTCATGATGCATCGAATCAATGCAACGATTCAACTCCGTACAGACGTAATGGTCCGATGGTACCATTGAAGCGTCACGTCGCCACCTCGACCTAAGGATCTCGCTCAATGCATAAAATTCAAATTTTCCTAACTTTTGAATCGACAAAGTCTATCCATTGAGCCCGTTAAGAGGCAATCTCGACGGGCGGAGGACTAACTGTATGGGTCAAAATCTGACTAGAATGGTTGTCCTTAAGAGGAATGATAAGGGGTTGACCAAGCCGTAATCATGCCCACGGGGCGAGATAGCAAAGAGCACCTCGACCATCGTCGGGGTCAAATCATTGGAAAGCTTACATTACAGAACAAGCATTGTGTTCGAGCAAACGACGAAGGTACAGTCGTAAGAAAGTACGTCGGTCAAAGACTATCGGATAAAAGGGAAAGGAACTATATATATGGGGGAAAACCCAGATAAAAGGGGGGATTTTACAGAGAGCTACGAGGATAAGAGTCAATAAGAGGAATCTCTCCATCATCAACAGTTCCCTCTCTTCCCCTTCCTTGCTCCCGTTATTATGACACATATCTATCCTAGATGTAAGCCCATCTCTCATGTTTGATGTACGATTATTTACGTTAAAAAATATCACGTGTTCTTATTCTTCTTCTATCTCGCACTCTATATGTTTGGATCTGGAATTAATTATGTTTTGTTAAGATTTACCTTCTATACTATTAATAATTAGTTCTATAAAAAGGTTTTTATATTTTTTGGTCAAACAGTAATGCCGGCCTATGATGTCAACCTATAATCACAATTCTTTTTTAAGTTAATTCCAGTCTGACGGTTATTATGGTTTTTTGTCTTATTTTTTGGACTGATTGATATTTATGTTGTTTGTAAGAATGTCACCATATTGTGTGTATGTTGCATATTAGCCCTAGAACGGAGTCAAATCCACTCACACTTAGAGGTGACAAAATGGTTAAAAAACAGTTATCTACTCACATCAGAACAAGAAAAATGCTCAATAACTAAGAGAAAACTGGTTCCTAAAAGCAAGAAATTGGTCCCAAATGGTCAATAGCGACCAGATAATCTGGTCCTTATAGCTTCCACCGCTAAAGGTCATTAAGGATTAGATGAGGTTCTAATCGTTAAAACTGTTTTGCGGCCAGTTTAAAACTAGCCCTTAAATAATTTTTAAGGACCATGTTTTTGATGCCTATTTGCATATTTTAGGGACTAAATTCCCGGTCCTTAGAATATTTTTGCGACTAGTTTAAATATGGTCGTTAAACAGTACTTTCGCGGCCAGTTATATCTTTTGCGAATATTTTAATGTTGGTCGCTAAGTCGAACAGGGTAGTACTACAAAGCTACATATTTAGCAACCAAATTTTCTACTCCAAAAAAGGATTTAAGGACTACCAGTCTAGTCCCTAAAGAAACAAGTCACAAGTCCCTAAATCACATTCAATTTGCAACTAGAAAATCGAGTATATTAATATATAGATGATATTTCTTTTCATAAAATATTACCAAAAATGATCAACATCAGTTAGTTGCACATTATATCAATGATGTAAGCTAGTCACAATATAGTGTTCATAAACATTTAGCAAAAAACTACATATCACTAATATCCCTCAATTGTAACGTAAAATTTTCTTGACATTCCCAGCAAAAAGATGGTTCAATCTATGTGTCGTTAAAAATCTGCTTCTTGTAAACTTCAATATCCAAAACCTGTAGAAGAAATAAGAAATTTTAGTTAGAAAAATTGTAACTGTGTGGACGGAACAAAATCAGGGCTAGATGGAGAAAAAAAGAAGCAACAAAAAATTATTTGCTAGCCACCATTGTTCCCTTTCATCACTTGAAAAAGTTGTCTTAATTTATATATAGGGACAAAGAATTGAGACAAATAGTTTAAATTAATGCAGCAAATTACAGTTTGTTATTTGTTCTGCTCTTAGCAAAAGGCTCACATTCAAATGAACCAAATATCTAGCTATTTCCTATACTAAATGACAGAAGATATGAATTACTCATGAAGAATAAGGACAATTTGTTTGAATTTTTCAGTTAAGGCCCTGCAATATCATCAATTAAATTTCTTATTATTTATTGGTCAAAGAGGTCCAAACAAAACTTATACCTTCACAATTCCATTCACATGTTTGCTAAGGTTTACCATGCTAGGAGTATTAGAAATGGGCAGAGTGTTGCCATCAAAGTCATAGATAAGGAAAAGTTCTAAGGGTTGGACTTGTGAATCAGATCAAACAAAATATATCTGTTATGAGACTAGTTAGACATCCTAATATCGTGCACCTTTACGAAGTCATGGCCAAGAAAATCAAGATTTATTTCGGGATGGAGTATGATAAAGGAGGTGAACTCTTTAACAAGGTAGCGAAAGGAAACATTAAAGAGGACGTTGCACAAAGTTATTTTCAACCGTTGATAAATGTTGTAGATTTTTTGCCATAGCAGGGGTGTCTATCACTGGGATTTGAAACTGAAAACTTACTGTTAAACGACGATGAAAACTTAAAAATTTCAAATTTTGGTTTAAGTGCTCTTGTCGAGTCAAAGCACTAAGACAGACTCTTACACACTACGTGCAGGACTCCAACCTATGTTTCTCCGGAGGTGCTCAATAGAAAAGGCAACGATGGTGCAAAAACTGATATTTGGTCATGTGGGGTTGCCCTATTCGTGTTGTTGGCTGGTTATCTTCCATTTAAGGACTCAAATTTAATATAAATGTATAGGAACATGAGGTGTTGAGAAAGGACCGGAAATAGGTCTAACTGGGAGTGCTAAAACAGGCTGCCCTGGCCCATATAGAGGTGCTGATGTTGGAGGTGGCCTCCCTGCATCATTAGGCATACCAGGCTACATCGGTCTAAAAGTAGAGATCCCTGATCCAACCATGGGGCCAGATGAAGATGGAGATGACATAGCTGGAAAAGAAGTAGGGTGAGCATGCCGAAAAACAGAAACGTCAGATCGAACTACTAGAACAGATTATTGAAAAGGACTTGCATTCTATGGAGCACCAAAATGTGTAGTAGCATGCATTTAGGGAAAGGTTGGTCGATTGGGATATTTGGTGCCCATGGTCACAAAGGATCACTTCCTGATGTTTTTCCACCAAAACAAACAAAAAGACATGTCATTATTATATTAGCACAAAAAAGCAATGCCAGACTTATACATCAGCCGAGAATAGTAAGAAAACAAAATATTTGCAGAGTTAAAGTACAATGCAAAAATGCAAAAGGGAAAAAGGCAAAAAGGAAAGATAAAGACAAAGGATAAAAAAAATAGCTCTGTCTAAGTAGATAAATACTTCATCGAAAGCTATTATCATTTTGTCAATGAGCAGTCCGACGAGTTTGATAGCAGATAAGGAATAGTTCGGAGAAAGAGGGATAGGGCAAAGGGAAATTTCAGTTGCATTTCCTTTTAATGCAAAGATGCGAAGGTGTACTTATAGATTGAATTGCCGATAAGCTTTCCTTACATGTACCGGTTTTTTAATTTTAATGAATTTATTTACACTCTGTATAAAAATTAAATGGCTAGGATCTAGCTTCAGCAAATACAGAGGAAAAGCAAAAAGTGGCTAGGATTCCAAACTTGAATACATTTGATATCATTTCCCTTTATGATAAGTATGATTTATCCAAATTATTTGAGGAACTTTTTTTAAAGAATGAAGCTAAATTCATATCCTGGAAACCAGCGGCCGGCATCATGTCCAAGCCGAAAGATACTGCTAAACGCCTTAAACTAAATGAAAGCCTAAGACCAATTCTTCAGGATATTGTTTGGACATGGCAAGAAGAATAACAACCTCAGCAATCAAAAAATCAATATGTAACCAACCCCTAACAAGCAGCGCACAAGATTTCAAACTAGAGATGAACCTAGAAGTTGTAGATATTTTACCTTGTATGTGCTTCTTTTAAGCATTCATCGTCCATTAAATATTATTACCGATATCCTCAACAACATATTTGTATCAATACATTATTATCACTTTCAGCAACTAGCGTCTCCGGTATGGGTTATCAAACTTCAACCACTAGCGTACATTAAGAAATTAGTAATAAGACAAATAACTATGCACAACCAGCAAATTCAGAATCAACAGAAGATATAAATTCCACAAAGGATATTTAATAACATACACTTAAATCAACCAAAATAAATTGATGTTTCGTGTAAGTTGCTACTCACTTGTTATCATCAAAGATCTGAATAGTTATTCTCCTGAAAGGCTGAAAATTAGTTTGTTGCACTAATAATAATTCTTTTAATTGCCTCACTTCTTTTAATTTCACCCCAATTAAATAGGTTTCGTCAAGTCAGTTATCAACAAGTTGCATCAATTGCTTATTTGGTGCCATAACCTTGGATAGTAAATAAAAAAAAGGTTTAAATAATTAAGATAACAAAATTATTAAGATGCACATTACTTAAAAAAAGTACTAAGATGCACATTACTCATTATCAAACTTGTCAAACTCATATTTATGACTAAACTTCTTATGATTTCACAAGAATGAGATAAACTATAAGTTGATATGCATAACATATAACACACAATTGCTCAAGAAAATGAGAAATTAAAACACATAAGAAACTTCATAGTTAAATCACTGATTTTCTTTCTTAAAGGTTAGATGCATAGAAAGCATTTGGTTGAGCTCCAGAAAACTGGTGGTGACACATTAGAGTTTTACAAGACATGTTCTTGTTTAAATTCCTAGAATAATTATGACATTGTGTATCATGAACTCTCCAACAATTATTGGAAGACCATAGTGACGTAACAGATTCTTGGACCTTAAAAATGGCAGTTCTACAAGAACTTCTCTTCGGTAAAAGATATCGTCTGGACATCTAGAAAAAGCCTCTGAAAAAAAAAATTCTTGTAATCAACACAATTCTGTTATGGGTAATAGAAACTATTGACTTTTCACTCTACTGAAGGTCAGCAAATTGCTACTGGGATCGAGGAGATTACATGGGATTTAACTTTGACTAATGATAGACAAAAAGAAGTCGATGATAAGGTAGCTTCAGGTGATCGAATAACTATGCAAGAGGATGGTTTGAATCGAGCAAACAATGGTAGTAAGCAGCAAGGAGTTACACTGGTGGCTCAAGAAGGTAACAGTGATCGAGCTACTATCGATCGAGTGGAGCATGTTGTAATGCCTGAAGCTATGGTTGCTATCAGTGGTGACATTATTGCTTCTTCAGGTCAAGTTGAAGCTCGGAAAAATATTGAGGGTGTAGGTGTGGAGCAGGTCAAGAAAAAACCAACTAGAGAGGATATGAGGTTGAAGGATATTCTTGCTGGTACGATTTTCGCGAGGATGTACACAGCTACTGCTGGTGCATTGAAGGTTGTTGCTGATCGAGCTAATACCTCAAACAAACCTGATATGGTTCAACTGGTTGGGGCATCTGTAATGTGAAGGAGTTACAAGATCATCAGTTGGTGAAAAAAGTAGTAGCGTTTGTGAAGTCTCAAAATCAAAGTCCTACTGCTGCGATGAAGTTTTCAAAGGATGGGAGTTCAAGTTTAAAGCTTGTTAATGCTGTGAATACAACTGGCGTGGCTGTTTTATATGGTTCACTTGCTACGGGTGATGGGGCAGATGTTCAACAAGTTCAAAAACCAGTAGTTGATGCAACAGGAAAGGGAAAAATCTGGACATGAAAGCGTTCAAGTTACTGCAAATTCCAATAGCAATTCTGATGGGAATATTTGTGCACCTATAGCTAGATTGAATGCCTATAAATTGGTCAATAATGAGAAGAAAAATATGGTGGAAGGTTGGACCACAGTAGCTTGCAAAAAGACTGTTACAACACAAACTATAGTGTGTGTACATGTAATTGTTTTGCAGAATTTTTTTTTATTTTCCTATATTGTCAGCTTTATTCGAACCAAAAGTTAATAGGGACATCATCTCTTGATCACTCATAAATATTCTCCTATATAAGCTTGGTTGGACTAAACAACATCGTATAAGACAAAAGTTTACAAGTAATGTATGTTATGTGTTTAAAAAGCAGGAACATGAGCTCAAGAGACTTGAAGGTCGTAGAATTGGGGAAAAAAAGAGAGAAAGGAAATGAAATCACAAAGAATCAAAAAAATGCTGACAACAATGTACAATGGAGTTGGCTCTAAGAAGAGTCAAGTTAAATCAATTGCATACGAACGCAACATAATATATCAATATGTTACATTGCTAATTTACATCATTGTTTCTCTTCATCTAATTTTTAAAAATATTAAATTTGGGTAATAAGTTGACTATACAATTTAAAGAACCCATAAAAATTATTGTAAAGAAACTGCACTAGAACACATAATGATAAAAAAAATCAACCAATTAATCACCTCATATGAAAAACCACAAGACATCCTACAAAGTTTTCATCATAGAGATAGAAAGATGCAAAGAAGTGAAAGGATTCATAACCAGAAGTGCGCCTCCATTATGACTATAAGCCTCTGTTAATCTTTTGATTCTTCGCCCAAGTCTCGGCTTCATTTTTTAACTTTTTCTTCTTTAATTTTCTTGTATACATACACACACACCGTCTCTTTTTGTGTTTTTGACTGCTTTGGAATCTTAGATCATTAAGTTATGCAATGTGATTCACTCCATTTTTGCTAGATTTTATCTCAAAGCATTTGAATTCCAACTAAAGTCTCCATCTTTTTATTTAAATTGCAGGTTTTATTTATTGAATAAGCCCATAACTATGGAGTTAGGGGATAACAAGATTTTTGAAGGTAGGGCTGCTGCTAGCAGCGACCCTACTGGAAGCCAAACTCATGACCCTTCAAGCAAGTCCTCAGAAGAATTATATAACACAAATCTCAAAGGAGAAAACCATCACAGAGACGAAACTCTACAAGAAAAACTCAAATTTCTCCTCCTTGACCTACGAGCCCCATCTTTAAACCAATATTCTCATTTTTATCACTCACACAATAACTATCACTATTCTAAACAACCCAATTGCATAAAACAACTAAAGAAACAAAAAATTGCAGAACCCGATTTTTGATTTCTGGTTCAATCGAAAAAAAAAACAAGAAGAAGAAAAAAGAAAACGAAACAGGTAAAAGAGAAAGAAATTAAACTTACTCTTGATTAGGCAGATAATCCAATGGTAGAGTTTGTGTAAAGTATCGAAATTTGACCCCAACCTTCTGAGTTTGAGGTGATGAATTTTGCAACCTTTTGAGTTCTGACTGATGAAGTTTGCAACCTTCTGAACTTTGAATAGAATTGAAGTCGCCGCTTAATTAGGGATTGTAGCGTGAAAGTAATTTTTTGGGAGATATTTTAGAGTGAAAGTGAATTTTTGGAGTGATTTTACAGTAAAAATAGATTTTTGGGGTTTTTTTTTTTTACTTTACTTTCATATTCCCGTCTCTATCCCGCTAAAATCGAGTATTAGAGGCCAGGTATTAAATTTTTTTAGACCAGAATAAGTCTAGTCGTGTATTTAGAAAACAAATTGGGTATTAGAGACCCCAAAAAAATCTCATCCTTATAAGTACACTTTTAGAGACCATATATAAAACCTGTCGCTAAATATTGGTCCTTAATAAGCCTTTTTCTTGTAGTGTATTATCCATGAAAAATGAGTTGGATAATGAACTATATAAAAACGGGTCGAATATGGATAAAAACCATATTATTCACTTAGAAAATGGTTAACCAAATGGATAACTAATGTGTTTAATTTTTACATTTGTAAAGCCTCAAATTGGAGTTCCTCAAGTTTGGAAGACTAAAAATTCTCTCATAAGTGATCATATTTAAGAAGCCATGGATAATATGAATTTTCATATTATCCGTCGGATAAACCCGTTTTTTATCCGTCTCAAATACGAGTCGGGTCGGATAATTTATCTGTTTTTTTTAAATTATCCGTTTTGGCCCGCTCATATTCGATCTGATCCGCCCGTTTGCCACCTCTATCCCTGGGTAAATGGTTCTTTATTCATATTTGGCCCGTTTTTAAATGGTTCATTATCCAACCTATTTTTTAATAAATAATATGGGTAAATAACTATTTTTTTAAATCATTTTGCCACCTCTATCCCTAGGTAAGAAAACGTAATATTTCCCTCAAATATGATAAAAGTAAATAATGGGCTTTACAGCTAGGCCCACTTGAATTATACATTATACTAACGGAGGTTCCTCTTTGAGTACAACTAGCCTTTGCGTGTTAGTTACAACCTTCTCCTTAATTGATTTTCCATTTTTAAGTAAATTTTGATGTTTGCAATTTGACATATTTAAGAAATATTTTTCTGTTATAGCTTATAGAAACGAGAAAATTAAAACGTTAGAATGTTTTTTCGTTCTTTTACACGCTAAAATCTGTGATCCTTAAGGATAATTTATGTAGAAGGTATAAACAAGGGACACCTGAAAATTAAAACTGAACAAGAAAATAGAGAAAGATGAATTTTCTTTTAAATGTATTTGAATGACTAAATCTCTAAATGATAATTTGGTTTAAAGTTCTAAATTTTATACTAATTCTGAATAAAGATTGAAATATTAGTATCCATCAAAGAGAGAGAGCTGATATGTCATGTTTCACAATCTACTAAATATTGGAAGTAAGTTATTTTTTGCGCAAATCTGTCATATTAAAATATCATTTCCTCATTCACATTTAAAGGTTTTTTCTTCCCTTTCACTATATATTAACTATGTTTTATTTGTTCAAATTTGGCTTTAAGTGTTAAGTGTTTGAATACGAACTATATTAAGTGACATGGATTTAAGTACCATAAAGAGAATAGAAAATAATGCAGATGTTATACATGACGTTTGTATATTCAAAGAAAACATACAAATTCTTTAATTTTGGAATCTTCCTTGTATTTAAAAATACCATATTACATGCAAAGGGGAAAATGACAGTCAAACATAAAATGATAATTGCTTCCCACCCAATATTTTTTTTTTACCAAACACCCACAAAACAAGCAATTGGGACGTTAGACTTATTATCATTCTAAGTAAATACTTAAACCAATTAACTAAAAAGTTCTCCAAATTTTCATTTTCAATTGAATTTAATTTCTATAAACTGATAATATAAAAAATATTTTTACATTATCATAACACCTAAAAGATAATACAATTAATCATCCACAATAATTAAAATTATTAACTTAAAAAATAAAGCATGGTATCTACTATAATCGGAGGCGGAGCCAGGATATAAAAGTTATAAGTTCGGAGTTCTAATCCGTTTAAGTTACCGAGTTCTAAATTAACAATTAACACATAATCAATAAATTTAATAACACTAATACATGATTTGGACCAAAACTATTAAGTTTGGCTGAACCTGTAACTGATTAGCTAGCTCCGCCCTAACTATAATAGGTTAACATACACTATGTTTGTATATAAATTAATTAATTTTGTTTTAATAATGGAACTGTTTATGGTTCAATTGATGAGAATTGAGTATGAGTCTTTGTCACCATAAACACATATGATGTCTCTTTTTTCTTTCTACCAAAAACAAAGACCCTTAATAAGAGTAGAATCATGAGTGGATTACAGTGATGAAAAGAGAAAAAGCAAGAATTTCCAAAACAAAGAAAAAAGTAAAAATAAAAAGAAGAAAAAAAAATTAGTATTTCACACATGCAATTAATATATATACATACTGCCTCTGCCAACTAGTGAGCTTAGCTTAGATTAGCTGCTACTAATACTGTAACTGTTGTGTTCTTTATATCTCTCTGCTTACTTGAATTCTACACATAAAAAAGTTCTCTTCTTCATTTCTTCTGCTTCTACTCTGCTCCTCTAGTCTCTGCAGTGGTAGTAGCAAAGAAAGAAAAAGCTCTTTTTTTTGCTACTTTTGAGGTGTCTTTAGCCGCCTTTGTGTTTTGCAGAGAAGTTATAAATATATATTTGACACAAGCATTTAAGTGAATTGGTTGTTGTGGTTTCAGAAGATTTTGTGTGATCTTACAATTATTTCTGGGCTGCATTTATAATTCACTTAAATTCTTGAAAAAGAGAGATTTTTTTAAAAAAGAAAGCTGTTTAGTTGAAGTTTTCTTCTTTCCTCTGCTTTTTTACTATAAGTTGGGGCGGTTGCTGCTAAGAGAACAAAAGGAATAGCTCAATTAGAGGAAGTGTGTATTCTTCTTCTTCTTCTTCTTCTTCTTCTTTTTGCAGAGATCTGGTTACAAGAAAGAGACATCTTAATACAAGGTAATTCAAGAAAATGAAAAAAAAAAAGTTTTTTTTTTTTTTT